CAAACAACAATTGTTATTGAAACCTGGGGTAAGTGCAACCCTTTGTCATAAAAATAAAAAAAATGCGCCATCAAGTAAAAATACCTTCTGTAAACTTTATTTTACCGAAAACCTATACAGTTTGAATGTACTCACTGCACAGATTTTACAGATCTTAAGTTCACCTGCCGAAGTGGCATCACCTTAAAGTTGAACTAGTCAAATTTCTGTACGCACTTACCCCAACTTACCTTAGACTTATAGATAATAAAAAAAAAAGAAAATTGTTGACTGGACATTTGAGGAAGCTATGTATCTGCTTTTACCTTGCGATATTATAGCAGAAATTCATATCTGAATGTTAAACAGCAATTATATTTTCCATTTCTTGGCTGATACATTAAATTACAAATGAAATCTTAAACAGTGTATTAAAATTTATGCAGTTGGACGGAGAATCAATAATTTTACTATTTTGTACTAATTGGGTAGGATTGCTAACAATCCAGCGATGCTGACCCGTGAAAAAAAAATGTTGAAGAATAAGAAAACGACCTATTTTGCATTTAGGTCGTCAAACTAATTTTAATATTTGAGACCTATGTGATACCTTTTATTTTAGCTGATCAACCTTATTTTAATTTGTGTACTACGTGTACCGTTTGTGTACTATTTAAGACACCATGTGTACTAGTATACAACATTTTCCCAGTAGTTTACCTCTAACACTACACTAAAATAGTAATGTTTTATTGATTGAAGCAGTAAAAATGGGGTAATTATTCCTTTGATAGTATTATTAAGATTTGTTTTTGTATTCAAATATTTTGACTTACATAAAGGATCAATAAAAAGTTATTATGTATCTAAAGTGTGATACCTGTATTTTGTGTATAATATATGTATTTCATTAGGAATTTAATAAAGATATGATTGATTCTTTTTAAATATGTGTGCTATTATATATGTTCTAAAAAATATTGTACCATCACCTCCCACAGTTGCTTGTAACATGGTCATTAAAAGCAAATATACCTAGTATATTGTTATAAGAATTACCATAATAAAATTTTTCTTATTTTGTGTCATTTATTTTAAAATACCTGAAACAGTTTATATTTAAAAAAGCGGTTGTTACATGACATTTATTATTTAAATTCGCGCATTCCAAAGGTCCGGTAACTACGTTATTTTTCCGAATAATTCTGATGATACACGATGCATTGAACAATCCTTTAGAAAGTCAGGTATCCTTGGTATTATCATCAAAATATTTTTAAATACATTTACCGTTACATTTTTCAATTGTCTTTTGGGAACGCGAGACTGAGACAGAAGACAAGAGACAAGCGAGCGCGTAAAGCGACTGAAAGGTGTCTTTACATCTGAATCACATGTAATTAAATGAAACACATTTGGGACCTCCGAGCAATTACTAATAGAGGGAGCGTGATAACGAGTTTGTAGGCAATTGTTGTGTTAGCAACATCTGTAGAGGAAGTGAGGAAGCGGGAACAAGGGGGAAGGTAAACATCCTTCTTGTTCAGTGGCGTATCATTTATCTATAAAAAGACACATTTTCCAAACGTTTTAATTGTAAAAAAAAATAAAAAATTTGCTAATTTTACTATTTTTAAAATGAATACCGTCTTATATGTGTCTAATGCAGGAAAAGAAACAAAATCACTGTAAAGGTCTAATTTTTTCAATTGAAGAATAAAACCTTAAAATCAATTTTATTATAAATACAGGAGCGACTAGTTTCGGCCTTACAGGAACATCTTCAGACCTGTAATACAATAATCTTAAATTATTATAATAGGTTGGTCATTTACGAATAACATTAAATAGTATAAACCACAAAAATGGATCCATATTGTAGCGTTACAGCATTATAGAATTAAAGCTGTGAAAATAAAAGAGCAGTGTTAACGTAACTAAAAATAAGAAAACTGAGTACGGAATCTACAAGAAAAGGAAATAAAAGTAATCATTTATACAAGCATATAATAAAACAACATGAATTTATTATATTTAATAAGCTAATAAACGTTTTTTTTTCAACGAAAAAAACATATATGTGAGTATAAAAAATATATAAATAGATAAGATTAATATCAAAATCAATTTGAAAATACAACAGATAATAAAATGAAATAAATTAATACAAGTACAAATAGAAAGTTAATAACATACCTTCTAAAAGTAATACATTTTAAGTAGATAAATGTTTAAAGAGTTTATTACTGAACATAACTAATCTAACGTTTTTCCCCTTTTTAATATTATGAGGGTTTTTGTAGTTGAAATGAAAACTATAATTTATTTTGGTCCCAATAAAAATTTAAACATAGGTTATCAAAGAGTAAAATTCATAATAGAACTTCATAATCTTAAATCATTATCAAAAATTATTATTGTTTTGCAAAAGACTTTTTTGCCTTCTTCGGTTGCCTCTGCCACTTTTCTTTTAGTAGTTTCGAGGAGAATTTTCCTATGGAAACCAGTAGAACCATCAATTGGTTGGTAAAATTTTGATATTTTGAGTCTGGTAAGTCTTGTTAAACTTTCTTCTTAGGAAGTTATAACCTTATGGAGAATAAAAATTTAATAATGTTAGATCAAAAGCTCTTAATTGAGAATTATATTTGCAAAGGCCGTTTTAATAATATTTTCAAAAGTTCTTGGAATCGTTGTTAACAGAAACCTGCAAAAAAATATATAATTTTATTCCTAAAATATAAGATATCACACAATGCACATTCATATAATATCATTGTTCTAGAAAATACTAGGTAGTTACTGAGATAATTTAAAAAAAGTATTTCGAGAAACTTAACTTTTAATGTCATCATTGTACTTAACTTTTTGATTGCTAAATTATTAATAATGTTATTTTGTGTAGTTCGTTGTGATTTGTATAATATATATTATAAAAAACTATCGTCAATGTTAATGTGCCAAGTTTTTTTAATAATTATTTATTTATTATTAATTTTATATTTTTAAAGTTTTCTGGATTTCTGCTTTAAATTATCGTACAATTGAACTGACTAATTGTGTGTTTAAGTAAAGGTATATTTCTTTTTTGTTATAACAGTCTTTGTATATTGTTCTAACTTTTTAGATAATCAGAGAAAACAGTAAGACATCTTAATATATCCTATTTCACCAACAAAAATGTAGAATAAATAATCTCACATCAAACGAAAAAAGTAATTTTAGGATGTCCTAATAGGTTTTAATTAAAAAACTAAATAAAATGTATATTGCAACTGTGTTTAAATAAATGAATGTTTTTATACCTGACTATAGCACCAGACAAACATTTTTTTAGATCATAATGATCCGCATAACTCAAAATAGTCAAAATCCACATTATTTAAGTTGTTCTAGTATTGTTTTAGCATAACGATATTAACTCCAATAATAAATATTCACATTTTTTTGGGACGTTTTTTAAGGAAATTAAAAAAAACATGAATAATGTGATATTCTTGTTTAGTTTTGTACTATATAATATAGATCATTAGGTAGTGATTTAGAAGCAAATTATGTTCTATTTATAGAATAAAAAATCACTCATAATATCTAAATATTTATACCTATTTATATTTTGGACAGGAAGACTATCCAATAATAAATATTCACATTTTTTTGGGACGTTTTTTAAAGAAATTAAAAAAAAACATGAATAATGTGATATTCTTGTTTAGTTTTGTACTATATAATATAGATCATTAGGTAGTGATTTAGAAGCAAATTATGTTCTATTTATAGAATAAAAAATCACTCATAATATCTAAATATTTATACCTATCTATATTTTGGACAGGAAGACTATTTTATGTTTTTGGCTCTGAATAGTTTTCTTAAGAATTTTAAAACCTTCCTTAGCTCTTTTGAGATATTCCATGCATATCTTAGAAGTTAATTTTGTTTAAACCTAAAACAAATTAAGTACAAAAAATGAACATTTAAACAATACACAAAATTAGTCTTTTAGATTAGTTAAAAAAAAGTGTCAACAAAAAAATGGCTATGCCTTTTTCCCTAAACATTCTTTTTGAAAGGAACTTAAGTTTCTCTACTTACTTGCTGTTTTAGTATTTTACTAGCAGATGAATATAGTGTAGAAGTAGTGACAGGATTGATTTATTATACTTCTTTCGTCGAAATTGCATTTTTCTTTAATATTTTCCTTCCCTGAGGTCTGTAATAAAAATGTTCATTAGCATAAAAAGTTATTCAGGTGGTCACTTGTTGAATTCCTATATTTTGGAACCATGTATTTCTTTCTCATATCAAGAGAAGGAAACCTAAAAAAAATAACAATAAACTTTACAAAGATGTGATATTAAAATAATAATAAGTAATTAACCTTTACTATAATCATTATGAGACGGATGAAGACGAACTTAGCTGGAGTTTACTTGCTCTTAATTTTAATTTTTCGATAAGAAAATAAGAAATTGCAAATTAAAGGTGATTGCCTAATGCACCGCCTCTGATAATTAGGTTGTGTCTGTACTTACTTATGATATTATCTTGAAGAAGCATTTTCAACAGGCCTTTTACACATAAAGCATGTTTTCACCATATTATTAGAGATAATAAATCTTAAATATACATTTACAATCCTTACAACGTTATAAATCATAATATTTTCCGCAAAATACAAATAAGAAATTGACATGTGTCAGAAAGTGTCAGAACTGGCGCTCACAGAACACTTCTGGCGCTGTCAAACTTGGCAACGCTGATTAAATAAGCCAATTACAGAAGAGGTATTTTCCCCCTCGGGGGGAGTAGATGATGCTAACAAAATTTAGCGCGGGGAAGGGGGGAAGACTCCCTCTAGTAGTAATTGCTCGGAGTTTGGGACAGCGCGACCCATAAAAGAGACGCAACAGCACTTTTAACTCGGCAGTATTTGCGCCTTGTTGCCTGTCGCTGATGCCTTGGATCGGTTTTGCGTTTCCAAATGGCATCTTTATAGTTAAATAATAATTATTACCTACCTAGAAAAACTCCTATAGACATAATAAAAATAAACGGTCTTCTTCTTCCGAAACTTAAATGACACCTGTCACTCAGGGATCCCAGGATCGGCGTGAGGAAGAAACCAATCAGAGGTGACAGGGCCCAAACGAGGGTCATATGTTTGTGCTCAACACCAATTTTGAGTAAAGTTGGCGAAACAAAAGCGGTTTCAGCTGCATAAGAAAATTCTATTCCCATTACTGCCGCTGACACACGAACCAGTTCCTTTTTTGTTTTCTTTCTAAAAAAAAATATTAGTTTTCAAAACATGGATAATCGGGTAGAGAGGGGATAGTATATGAAGCAAAGTATATGAGACCAAGTTTCTAATTTCTAATAATTAACTGGTCTTGTTTTGTTTCTACCTATTTAAATAGATTACAGTTTTAGGTGATTTGACGTTGAGAAGATATAATGTTTAAAGAGTAAGTACTATTTTATGTAAGGGTGGGAGTGGAGTATTTTATAGTGTGTGTGTGTGTGTGTGTTTTATAGTGGAAAATAGTTGGGTCACAATTCAATTTTGTCATGACGAACGTAAATTTCTTTGTCTATATAAATTTTCTAAGGTAGTCTTAAAACGTATTTCTAAAACTTCGAAAAAATAACAACCAGTGTATATGTTTAAACACAGCTTTGAATGGTTATAGCTAATTAAAATTTTATGTCTAATTTAAATTTTATTTTTAGCTATTTTGAGACTGATAGGGGACTGAAAATGTAATTTAAAATTGTTAAAAAAATTACAAGCAGTTTTTATAATGAAACACAGCTTCTAAATACTATAGCAAATTTAAATTTCAACTGTCATTTTTTCGGCCCATCCTACTGGACTACACTAACAATTTGGCAAGATACCTCCAACAAAAGTAAAAAACAAGCCATTATGGAAGGGGTCTCTTGTCGCTTAAATAATTCAGCAGGAAAAGGAAATCGTTTAATAATTACCCACGTTAGAAGTATTGAAACATTTTTAGCAGATGTTCGAGTCAAAGAAAACAAAAGACTACCATAAAGAAATGGATGGCCTTATGTTTGAAAATTGGTTTCACAACCTTGTAAAAAAATTCCAGCCATGTCTGTTATTGTTTTGGATAATGCATCTTACCACAGTCGATTAATGAAGTCACTACCTACAACAAGATGGAAAAAAGAAGATAATTCAAAATGGCTTCATTCTAAAAATAATATCAGTCCTCCTGAATCGGTGAAAGCAGAATTACTCGTAATAGCAAGGCAACATAAAAACAAATTCAAAAAATATATAATAGACGAAATGGTCCAAGAAAAAAGAATTAAAATTTTTAGATTGCCTCCTTACGATGCAGAGTTAAAACCCGTTGAACTTATCTGGTCACAATTAAAAGGTTATGTTTCTCGAAACAATACAACATTTAAATTACCTGATATGCGTTTGTTTTTGAATGCATTTTAGATATAAATGTAGAACGTTGTAGAACATGCATTGATCATGTTAGAAAGGTGAAAAATTCATTTTGGAAATTAGATATAGCAATGGAAAACTCAATAGACCCTATAATAATAAACCTCAGAAAAGACAATGATAATGATACCAGTAGTTATAGTGAATACAGTGAATTTTAAAGATAGTTCTTGAACTTTTATATATTTTTTAATCTTTTAATGACAAGAGATTAAAATAAGTTTAATCCCATTAACAATATATAATCATTCTTGTTTTTTATTGGTTAAATTTAATTCGTTCAATGTTAAAGTGTAACAATTTCGTCAGAAGCATAAGGTTTATTTTTATTTTTTTGTAAATAATATAACGATTTTCATTAAAAATTTCATCTACGAAGTGCGTATATACCATTTCTAAGCCATTTATATTATAAAAACTTATTGTGCATAGTACGCCTATGGAATGTGACGTTATATCCCGACTTTTACCGCACTCCTCTTTTATTCAGACTATAGATAAATATGACACGATTTAGTTTTATATTCGTTTTTTCTAAATTATCATATTTTTCGGACAAGATTATCTAAAAAAGTTTAATTGAGCGTTTTTACTTGATCCAGTAATTGATAGAAATTTTTAGTTGTTTCACTGTGTTTTAAGAGTGACTTAAGGATTTATCTTTTTTGAAGTAATTTTGAACGTTTATTGTTTTACAAGACAAATAAAAAATTATACAAAATCTGTAACTCAGAATTTAAAGAAATTTAATCATTATAACCATCCTCAGCTATATGAAAGTGTTGTTAAAATACAATTAGTACGATGGTAAGCAAGAAAACAATAACATTGACAGTATTAAACGTATATGTTTATTGTTATCATAAGATTAATAATAGATATTAATATATGGTAAAGTCAAAAATTAATTAAATAGTACAAAAAGTGGTTCTTCGTAATAAAACTTGTTACGATTGGAACCGTTATTTCGACACAACCACCTTTCACCTCTCAAATGTCATTTGTCGTTCATGCGTTGTGTCAAAAGTTCGCATTTCATTTGATTTAAATCTGTTAACGAATCAAGTTGATTTTAATTTTTAAATTATCTTGGACATCCGATGTACTAATTGATTTTTAATATTCGTATATTCCGTCTGATTTTGTAAGGTAAGTTGTAATACTGATATATTGTTGAAAATATATATTTTGTACAAGAATTTATTAAATAAAATGTCAAATTTTGAACATAACCTCAATACCTATCAACAATGAATAACACACATGGATAAATTATATATTATTTTGTTTGGAATAAGATATTATGCTTTACTATGTTTAAATATGTTAAATAAGATTTTTTCTTTTCATATTAATTTTAGTCTCTGTGAAATTATTCACTTAATAGTTTTAAATTGTTAATTTATTAGTTAAAAGCATTTTATCTAAATCCTGTTCCAATTTCTTATTTCCTCTCTTAACATTTTAACCTTTTCTTTTTAGCATTGGCTATATCTAGACGGTTTATGGAGATTTATATCTAGACGGTTTATTGGGATCTATATCTAGACAGTTTATGTGGATTTATATCTAGAAGTTTTATGGTTTTTATACCTTAGAGTTTGGTGCAATCTGAAGACCGTGGTTTGGTTCAACTATAGAAGATCGACACTTTTCGAGTTAAGATAGAATACCAAATTTCACAATATCGTTCAAGTCCAGAATTAAGAATAAGGATCCCGAATCCCTTTGAAGAAGGCCTGAAGAATACCATACAAATCACATTCCTTATATTACTACCTCCTGTTACAAAAGATAAGTGTGCTTTTAAATAAACCATCCTAAATTTGAATTAAGTAAAACTATGTGAATTAGAATTTGTTACTGCCTTATCTAAAACTTGGTTTAAATATAATTTGTTAATGGTTAGTGATTTTCTATATTTTTATCACTAATCTAAAGTCAAGTATAGTAAGTTTTAAATATAGTGGTGCCCAACTTCTTTTTCAAGGTAATTCGAGTTATTTAATAACCTGACCCACTCCCAAAATGAATTGAGCTTAAAACACTATAACAAATAGATAAAATATCAAGTATCACGTTACAAACTTGATGATAATGAACTTAGAAACAGAATAATGGAACCATTTTATTTGATTTGTGAAAGTCCGTGTAGGTGACAATTAACGGACAAACCCCATTTGTAAAAAATCGTATTTTGAACTATTGAATTATCTAGATCTAGATATGCAAAAAGTGTGTTAGAGAACATGATCAATTTTCTCATCTCATCTTAAAAATGTCTTTTTGTTGGAGCAGGAAATTATGTAAAGAACAGTTCTTTCTATATTTGTGGTTTAAACAAATTTGATTTGATTATTCTAATAATAGTTATAACGAAGTGTATTAATAAGGGCGATTAATAATCTAGATAATGTTCGAGATTGTTAATCGCCATTATAATTTACGAGTTCGTTACAGAACTTTTAAGTCGACCGTTCTTTTCAGTTTCTGCCACTCCAGTGGAGTTAAATTAAACTCTTCGTCAATATCCATCTTTTGATTTTAAACTATACATAGAGTTTTTGAATTTTAAGAAATTAAATAATGACATGCAATGACAGATAGTATTAACACATCTTGATTTCAAATGTATATGTATGTTTGGTTGCCTCCACATACTTTGATTTTCTTTTACTATACGGAGAATGGTCGCACTGCGCAGCTTTTTGAGTGCCTTTTAAAAGGAGATAGAAAACTCCGCCATTTTGAACCCTTATTACGTGTTGCCTACATCTTGGCGCAATATTTTTAATAGGTGCGTTTTAATCATCCGCTTCTGCTTCGGAGTTGTCGGTTTTCTTGTTTTAATCTGACAGGTTAGAACGACTGAACCGACAATTCCGGAAGCAGAAGCGGATGGTTAAAACGCAGCTGATATTTTGCTTGCTGCTGTCAGTGTCAGTGAATATTATTTTTGGAGTCACAGTTTATTGCTAAAGAATCAGTTAGCTCACTCGGACCAGTTGAAAGTTCCAAAATAACATCCACTCCAGGGATACAAATTCAGGATACGCAGAAGACTTCTGTTTTATTATAGGCGGTTGTCATATATTGTATTATCTGAGTTGCGCAGTGTATAAACTGGAACATTGAGATAAAAAGTGCCGACGCAGAGTGAGCGATCTGATTCTTTAGTTCTAAACTGTGTCATAGGGTTCAAAATGGTCGCGCCCTATGTTGGGCGTGTCGGACCTCTCTCTTGCCCCGTATAGTAATCAAAGTATGTGGTTGCCTCACATAATTTCATTATCAAAGTATGTGGGTTGCCTACACCATAGCTAACTGTCAATATAAATGTACAATAAGAGCAATGTACGTTGGGTTGCATATATGAACACTAGAGATAAGGAGGCGAATCGTGGTGCGTTTGATTTGATCATCGGAGATCTCCGAGCGCTTCAAAAGTGTTTGAATTGACACTCCGAGAGATCCCTAAAGTATTTGTTTCGCTTTGGAGCGAGAACATAGAGCGAGCTCGATGTTCTCAGAGCAGAAAGATCGAGAAGAGGGAGAAATTTGTCTTTGTCTCTACCTATCTCTTTTTAATTAACTTACAAACAAATTTGAATCTCAAAATTAAAGACCAGACAAGAAGTCAACAAATTACTTAGCCGCTTTTGTCTTATAGCTAAAATTATTCATCATAAAAAAACACAAAATGTGTGTTTGGAAAATACATTTTTTCTGTCTAGATCTAATCACCAGTAATCACAGTCATGGAGTATGAGAGCGAAGCGGGCATTTGTGGTAAATGCTGCATTTCAGGGCCATTACCCCTTATTATTAAAAGTTTTTCCATTTTCTTTACTTTTTGCTTACTATTTTAACATACAAAATAGAAACAAGAATCACAGAAAAGCGAGGTTATGTTTTTACTCTGTTTTATTTGATTTGATTCAATGCTCCATTGTGACGTCATCACTTCTCGGTCTCCTCGACGCTCGCTCGATCGAGTTTCAAATCAAACGCCCCTTCGGCATGCTCAAAATACGGTCCCAAAAATCACACGTCAATTGAGCTTTTATAATTAACCGCATGGGTGCTGTACGGTTTGTGTAGTTCAAAATACATGGCTTCTTATGGGAATTATACATAATTTTGTCAAAATAATAAAAATAAACTTGTTTATAGCTAAACAAAGCACAGAACATACTGTTGTATTTATTTCTAAATAAGTCTTACATATTTTAATTGATACATTATTTACTATGCAAATTATTGATAATAAGTGTTGAAATTTGATGAGTAGGGCTAATTATTTTTTAATTAAAGCTAAATAGGGCTGAGGGCATACTAAGACATGGTTTAAATGAAAATATTTAGTTAGGGATTTTACAAAATTTTATGAAAATAATAAAAATCAAATTGTTTATTGCTAACTAAATCACAGAAAATACTGTTGATTTTAATTATTGTAAATAAGTATTTGTTTTAATTGCTAACTAAAGTACAGAAAATACTATTGGTATTAATTATAAATGAGTCTTTATGTTAAACATTATTTACTATTCATTATTTAATTTTATCTAAATAAAATGAAAATGGTGAAATTTTTTAAGAACAGTTTTGTGGTAATTTTGTATTCGACAACTACAATTTCATCATCCAGGTGAATAGTTTCTTCAGCAATAGGTTCTAGTATTTTTTTCCTTTTTTTATTCTAACAAATTCAATTCGGTTCAATGGTGGTTTTCGTCTTTTCCTAATACTGGACAAGTATGAAGGGAGATTCGGGAATATACATGGTATTGCTTCGTTCTTTAATCTCGGCCTTTCCCTTTTTATTTTGTTAACAGTACCATTAGTTAAAATAGTCTCATCAAATTTTAAAATATCATCTTCTAAAAAGTGTAGCTCGCAAACAGAATCATAACTAGACAGTACTTTATCAGCCCTGGAATCACATGCTGCCATTGTTCTAAACGTTTAGGATCCTATAAAAAATATTTGCATTAACTAAATTGGAGTTCAATAAAGTAGTAACTCTTCATCTAACATCAAAAAACACAAAAAAAGCAAATTTTCTTTTCTAGTAAGTTAAATTTAATTTGTAATTATTGTTGTTTGTAAGTCAGGATTTAGAATTTTTTATTATAGAATTAAATAAACTACACTCCGTAAGATAGGGGTTGTGACTGTTTTACAATAAATATATATTATTTAGAAATAAATACATTATTTTACTTACACTAGGAGCTTTAAAAAGACTTGGATTTTTCTCTCCTTGTGTTTTCTTTAATTTTATATCAGATTTATATCCCGTTTTTCAACACGGAACGGAGCAAATCCTGCTTTGCCGTTTTTTGTTAGTCATTGTTACTTGTAGTCAGGGTCTTTTTTTCAGCCTATTTTTATTCTTTTCACAAAATTTTACAAAAATCACTTTAATTCCCATTGACTTGCATAGAAAATAGACGTCGTTATTTTGCCACCCGACAACTAGGTACAGTAGTTTTTTGGAACTCCATAAAAATAGGGACGGAAATTTGAAATTTGACCAAGGCCGATTCGCCTCCTTATTTCTAGTCTTCATAGTTGCATATAATAAAATCGTTGAATAATAGAAAACCATTCATTAATAGGGGTCATAAATCAACGATTTTGGGTACGTTAAAATACATCATAAATGGTCGGTTGACGGAAAAAAAATTATAATTTAATATTTTTACAGTACCTAAGTAGAGCTTAACGAAGGCCCGTATTTATAAACAGATTTCAGCTGAGTCGGAGTTGGCTGAATCGTCCTTGAACGAAAATCGAAGTTCGGTTAGCCGGGTGAATTTACTTGTACTTAAGACCCAACTCAACTATTTTCTTAGGTTAGAAAACGATTTTTCATTCGAAGTAATACAAGACGCCACTTTAAATTTTTATCTATTAATATCAACAAATACGTAACACGATGAGTTTAATAAAACGTATGTCTCGAATTAGCACGGTTGCAAATTGGCGCCACCTCATTAAGAGTACATTTTTAAATCTTTGCACAAGTTCCTGAAATAAATAGGGCAAAACTAAGAGTGTATTTTGCGTTTTATCTTTTAAATACTATAAAAATGGTGGAAAGTCCATAACTTATAAATATTTGTTAAATATCACTTATCTTATTAAAATATTATACATTAAAAGTAAAACAAACTATAGACTTTCCACCATTCTTTACCGTACTCTGAACCCATTTCTAAAAACAATTTCTAAAAATAATATCGTTCAGAGCTGTATTTTATGTGATAAAAAAGTCTCCGTTACTTGTCATTGACAACGCGTTGAACTTGGACTTAACAGTTACCGATTTGGTACTGTTCATCTCTAAATTCCAGTACAACACCAGAACCACTTGAAACTCTAGAAAAAATAACCCAATTTCGATTTTCGTTTAAGGACGACTCAGGAACAGCTTATAAAACTGTGACTCAGGCAAGTCCGATTGAGCTGAGCTCTGTTTATAAATACTGGCCTAAATTCGACTTTCAATTATTCGAAAGCGGTATTAGATACGGGTAACATATACCGAGTGACAGTGAGACCAGGGCCACGTTAATATTGCTTTTATTTATTAATGACAAATTATTAGGACAAATCTACTAGACACTTAAACAAAATAGCAGATTTATTTGATTTCAAATGTCATTGGTGAATTTCAGTATAATTTAAATTTACCGCGCATCAAACATTTAATAATAAAATTGCGCCAGCATCGCGGAATGTACCGTGCGCGAACGAAACTTTCCCGAGTACCGACTTCGTACCGAACATCAGCCAGATAGAGAGCTTTTGGTACTTCACCTAGTTCGGCTATAGACTACTTATATCTTTAAATACATGTATTTTTTTAAATGAATAAATTCGTTAAATGTAAAAGTGTTACATAATTTTTTAATCAATGAGAAAATAATAGCATTAAATCACAAAATTATCCAGTCATTAAACTGGATTTTTTAAATGAATATTTTGTTTTCATTTTACCCGATTTCAAAAAAGGAGGAGCGATAACTCTTTAATACGGTGCGCGATTTTAATGATTGTTTTTGTTAGAAAAGGGATACTTCAGAGATGGTCCCACATAAACATGGTCAAAATCTAATAATTGGGTTCATTGGAAAATCTTCAAATTCTTTATTTTTTATGTATGTTTAGCGGTAATTCTTTACCACCTTATCCGATTTGTGATTTTTTTTGTTAGTAGGGGGGTACCTCAGGGCCCCTAAAAATTTGGCCAAGATGTGGTGATGGCACCTGCACGATTTTGCAGTCAGTTTTTTAAAATTACTTTTATGTCATTATTTCAAATTTATGCTTAAATTACATATGATAGTGCTTCAAATTGAATGTACATGAATGTACAATCAGCAACGAAATCAGTAGGTATAAACCAAATATCCCATTTACCCGTATTTTTATTTTTCATGAAACTTTAAGCGCAACATTGTAGCTAAAGTAGTAATAATCTAGATCTAGATGTTAAATTAGAAGAAGAGGTATGAAACATTTAATTGTGCATAAAAAATATTCTTATGAATTACATATTAGGCGATTCCTTGATTCCTTACTCAACCAATTATTAAACAACTGAGCCTTTTCTTTTAATAGAGCAAAACTTAATTTTTTTGCACACTAAATGAAAACACAAAAGTTTTTATTAAACATCAAAGTAATATATTTTTTAAATAAGTAATAATCTTTTTAACGACTTACCTATAAATATGCGAATAATCATCAATCCCATTCCCACTTCCAGCACTTTGTTTAACAGAAAAACACTTTTCTTTTACCCACCCCGACACACCGTTCGGATTATTTTCCTTCCAGGACGCGTATTTCTCTCTTAAATTATCCCTAATCGAATGAATCCTTCCGGCAACTCCTTGATATTCGTACAATTTTTCCGCCATTTATGCACCGTTGTGATTTCCAGCGAGTTTTTCTGTTTTTCACGTTTCGAAACAGCAGCTCTGAATTGGAGTTGTCGCTGTCATTGTTCCAACCACTTGATGATCCTCATTGTTTGTCGACGACAAGACTGAAAATTTCATTAAACAGAGAAACAATCTGATTGTCTTGCGCTGTTACGGAAAAACTTTTTTGCATGGAAAGGCGTAAATGTGAAACACATACTTTTGAGAAAATCTAGAGAATATTTTGAAACTAATTTCTGTAAATTTATTGAATAAATAATTATTTTATCAGTTGTAACAACAGAAGATAGTGAAAATAAATTGAGGATATAATAATTCAAGCGTGTAATATCAAATGTAGCAAAGTCCACTTTCCTACATTTTCCACTACACAACAAATAGTATTTATTTAAAAAATATTAGGACGTTACATAAAATTACTTTTTTGGCTTTTAAGTATGTAAATAAATTATTTTAGTAAATTGCAGTCAAAATCGCCGTAGGATTCTAAATAATATTTTAAATTGGCTATATATATATATTGGAGTTTGCTGTGTTTGATATTTAAGGTTGGAGTTTGCTATATATGATTTGTTCATGAAAGGAGATTGCTGTTTATGTTAGTAAACTGGGGTGTGCAAACATCCAGGACTGTATTGAATACAAACACAGTTCTGCTCACTAATTAATACTGTGATTCGCAGAAACTAGAAACAAATGTTTTTCATATTGTCAATAAACAATGTGTCCATAGGCGCCGACCAAAATATTGCTGGCGGGCAAGTCTTATAGGCAAGTTCAAAATGCCGGAGGCTATAGACAAAAGCCATAGCGAAAAATACAAAATCGTAAATCCAGGGCGCTTGCTCTCGTGTGGCAGTGCCTATGAATGTGTCCCTTAAAGTTGACCACAAATGAGAAACTTTTTTATTATTAACCCTAGGTTATGTTCTTTTCATTGTATATATTTTCAGTATATGGGATTGACTATAAACGGATAGTATTTTGAAATCTAAGGGTGTAATTTGCTTATTAAATGTAATTGTTGGGTAGAACTCGCCTCACGAGCCGTCTATCCTGTTACTTTGTAAATCTGAAGATTACCTTCATAAATTGATAAGCCGAACTTTAATTAACTAGTGGACGTTGAGTAGTTATTACCTATTTCTAGACCTCGCTTCACGAGAAGGCTATGTAGGTACCTGGTTATTTAATTTTAACTTCTTTATATAACCAGGGATAAATAGTTATCCCTGTGTTTTATCTTATACGTTTTCTTTAGGGTTCTTGTGACGGGCATACACTTCTTGTGACGGGCACACACTTCTTGTGACGGGCTGATACTTCTTGTGACGGGCTATCAACTCTTGTGAAAGCCAACACTTCTTGGTACGGGCCAGTAGTCCTTGTGAAGGGCCAACCCTTCTCGTGACGGGCCAGTATTCTTGTGACGGGCTGACTAGCACATCTTGTGACCAGCTGATTGATTAGTATGCTGCTAACGAAGCAGAGATATCAACATCTACTGGAAAGAAGTCACGGTGTACCGCACGTTTTTGCTATCTTATTTCATATTACTTATTACTATTTAATCTATTTTATTGGGGGTGTTATTAGTATATAATTTTATCTAAACCTAATGTAAACGAGGTTTAGGGGTGTATGGTTTACAGTACATTTTTATTAAACCCGAAACACTTCACCAAGAGCTCTTCGTGGGTTATATTACTGATGGGTAATTAATATTTTTAATAAGTAACAGTATTTTACTTGTTTTTACCCCTAGCGTACGTAAATGGTACACTATTATTTGTTTATTTGCTGAATACAGTACACACCTCATCTGTTACATTTTTATGATTACCCTTAGTCCCATTTAATGATTTTTAAGCTTGATATAGCATTTCAGTTGTAAATATTACTCCCAGTGATATTGGATTATTGTTAATAGTTGGGAAATTTAGTAGTCAATGTACTAAGTGATTTAATTGTTATTAATTTGGTAAATATTAGTATATTTCATAATGGTAACGAAGTTGACCCCCCATGTCAACACGATTTATATTTATAATTATTAAACTTGGGTATAAATTGAATCTTTCTTATTTTTTTTTTACCACAACTTGCTAACTGTCAGCAATTATTTTTATGGTAAAGTATACTTTTAGTATAATAGGAGCATACTCGATTTGTAGCCGCTTGATGGCCTTGTAGAGGAGATGCTATAGTTTCCTATTTGGAGTTTGGTAGTGAACTGTCACATGGATTGTTGGATGTGAGGTTAAACTCCTGGCGCCCACTCACAAACATCACTTTTTCTACGATTCACCCCCTTCTTCACTGTAGTTAGTCGGCATCCAACTTTGGATTGACATAAATCCCACCTCAGGTGCTTAGGCACAGAAAGTAGGGAGCATTTATTTTTGGCGCCCAACGTGGACTATTATCTACTAAAATTGGTTCATAATTTGTAATTAGTCGTTTACGTTTTGAAGAAATTTTATTAAAAGAATATGGCAAAAAATAATCTTCACAAAGATAGCGAATTTTGGCGTTTTGGCGAATTTTAATATAGGAATGAAAATGAAAAAAGTTTAATTTGAATAACCGTCTGCTGAATATTAGAATAATACTTATTTTAACAATTAGGAACTGGACAAGAATACTTATTTTTACCCGGGCCAGATATGTTTTGTTACAAATAGGTATATTAAAAAATAATTAAAATCGATCCAAAATGAAATTATACATCGTTAAGGCTATAAGAAAACAATGATAAAAAAGTCCTTAAACAAATCTAACACCTTATTAAATTAAATTGTTAATACTTACTAATTACATCAAATCGGCACTTATCAATCTTCTTAATCTAAAAATAAATTGCCTATCTATGGAACTACAGGAACTACATCCACTACATCAAAATAACTTTTATTTTATGATGGTTTTTGTAGATTTTTCGACCATTTCACCTTCCGCCATTCCGTTCTTCATTTTTTACGAGGTTATCAAAACAGTTGTCAAACCCCTCTTTAAAATATCCCAGAAATAGTATGGCCATTGTATTGATGGTATCGAGCATGACAAAAACAAAATAAGGTGGGTTTAAAATAACTAATCTCATGAAAGTTTATGAAAACTGGCAACATCGTTTTCATCTTATTTGTGATAGTAACTCCAAATAGTATGGCCAGAACTAACCACTTGTTACCAGTGCCGTGCATTTAAACGGTTTATCTTTTAATATTAATTTGTCTATGGATAAGTACGCCGATTATACAGCAATTCAATGTTTTAACATCTAAAGATGGATTCCCGACAATGGTTTCGAAACTTTTTTTAAAATTTGAAACCCCTCATTTTTTTGCTTGCACAGGGTAATATTTATTTAAAATAATTTTTCCTTGAACTTTTTCAAATGCTTTCGCCGTAATATCTATTTATTCAACAGCTTCAACTAAAGATATAGATGTATTTTGTAATTGCACAAGGGCTTTTGACACAAAGGCATAATTTAATTTTATGTAAACAAGTTGATGTTGTAGTTGTTCATTTTTAAATAACTCTTTAGACTCTGAAAGAGCATCTGAAGAAGAATCTGTTAAATCAAAAATGAATTTTTTTATTGATTCTTAATGTTCTGCATAAAATATAGCTGCATCAAGACTTGTGCCCCACCGGGTAATTATTTTGGAGGTAGCGGGATATCTGAAATATTTTCTTTATAAAATTGAATTCTTAATGGAGATTTAAGAAAAACTTTTTTAATGTTACTTATCAAATTATTAACGATTGGAAACTAAGATCTAATACATTCTGCAACTCTATTAATACCGTGAGCCACACACGTTACATGAATAAGGTGCTCATAAGATATTTTTAAATTTTGTGCCACTTTAATCATATAAGGGACAGCGTCCGACATTAAAAGTATAAATTTACTAGAAGGGACAAGATCTGGTAAAAAAAGCTAGTTAGTGAATCCTGTACAAATCCAGTTAAATTGTTTGTTTTTTCAAGGTGCTTGGATGATATGAGGGGTGTGCATTTTCTGGTTTATATTCATGTAGAACTCCAATTAATAAATGTGCAATACGAATACATCTTCCACTAGAATCGGTGGTTTCATTAATTACAATATAAAAGTTATCATATATAATATTTTTTACACACACCACTATGTCTTTATATATACAATCGACATGCTTTTTCATTAGTGTACATTGAACCTGCAATATTTTTGCAAAATTGATTTTAAATTACATAATTTAATTTATTTAAGGGTATATCTGCTGAAATCATTGGTTCGCATAAATCTTCGTTAAACTGCATTTGGTTGTTTTTCTGCGAACCTTGTTGAATACAATTTTTTAAAGTTTTCTGTGGTCTTGCGCCTTCTTGCAATTTTCGCAATGCTGCAATGTGTTTTGATGTTTTTATATGTTGATCCACCATTAACTTTTTGTAGGCGTGGATCTTAAATAACAGAGAAACGCAAGTTAAATGGTTTGCTTGTTAGGACATGCCATGAGAAATTAAATATATGTAGCAATTTTTTAACAAGAAATATTTCGGCATTATAAATTAAATGGAAATTGAATAAGTATGAAGGTAGGCAAAAAGTATAATAGGTACTTACAATTTTTGAGCACGCTGAGCAAAATATATTGCCGCCGTCCCATGAAAACTCTGGACGCACCTTTATCCACAATTGTTTAAATTTCAATTTTGGCATTTTCTTGATAAAGGTATTCGCTATAATACGGAACAACTCAAGGCCAAACAAGATACGAAACACGAAATGAACTTCAGCTTTTTAACATCTTAAAATGTAAATTCTTGTATAACTACTTATCCCCCCTACACAGAGCTTACAGGTTTTTCCAACTAAATTAGTATAGCTAATAAAAATAAATTACCTCATTTAAATATTTTTCTTAAGAAATGGATTATAACCACCCGCATTTTCTTGATAAAGGTATTCGCTACACTGATAAAATAATACGGAACAACTCAAGGCCAAACAAGATACGAAACACGAAATGAACTTCACCTTTTTAACATCTTAAAATGTAAATTCTTGTATAACTACTTATCCCCCCTACACAGAGCTTACAGGTTTTTCCAACTAAATTAGTATAGCTAATAAAACTAAATTACCTCATTTAAATATTTTTCTTAAGAAATGGATTATAACCACCCGCAGAGTTTACGACTGATACTTTACTTTGAAGTGAACCTTTGGGATTGAAAATAGAAAATTAATGCATCATTTCTGAATTTATAAAA